TACCTTTTTGGGGCTTTTCAAGAAAAAAGGGTTGATCAAAGGGGTAGATCACGTTGATAAACGAATTTTTCAGTTATAAACCCTTTTTTGAGGATTTATCATTCTACGAAAATTTTTATCAGTGATTGTACTACCTCATGTGGTACCATTTTTTAAAAAAAAAGCGAAATTCAGTCAACTCATTGAAAGTTTATTATATCTATTTTCATCAAATGTTGTTTGTTTGGCCAGTTGTAAAATGTTGAAAGTGATGTACAAAAAACACTTGGCATTGTGCCAATTATTCGGAATCTTCGGATTAGAATTCGATTACTTTTATTACTAAATATTCTGTTTATTGTTTGAACTGGATAACAGAGAAGTCAAACAGATTGATTAGCATCTGGCCAATTGCTAAGACATATTAAACTGTTCGTGCATTTGGAGATTGGCCGGTTTTTCACTCTCTTTGTCCTCTTTTTTATCGATAATGTTTTATTAAACTTTAATTGTTCTTCTTTCTTTCCCTCCTTGGGACCATTTTTCTATTAGCGATATACTAACTTTTATTATTTTGCTTTTGATGTTAATGCAGAGTCATGATGAATGTTTATTTCAATAAATAACACAAAACGCGTCAGCGAAATCAAACTCTATGCATTTTTCTCTTATTAATTAATTCTCAACAGCATATCAATTAAACTTACATATCGGTTGATATTTGATCGATTGCTGAGAACCAAAAGTTGAGACTATAGAATTGGCTTGCATCCAAAAGAATATACGTTAATTTGTTTTCTGATTAATTCAAGCCCTCACCCACACCCACACCCACACCCACACCCACACCCACACCCACACCCACACCCACACCCACACCCACACCCACACCCACACCCACACCCACACCCTCAAGATGCGAACTACTCTATCTCCAAATAATTCATCATAAACGGGTCGAAATCCGAATGGTGGTAGTTGTAATTTTGAACTCACACACTCTCATTTGATGACATGATAAGAAAATAAAAATGAAAGAAGAGAGAGAAAACAGGAAAAAAATCAGCTTTTGCGCTAGCAAGTTTCGAGTAAAAATTCTGTCACAAAATTGAATTAACGTAGCAGAGAGCGAGGACTTATCATATACAATGTATAAATAGAGCGGAACACGCCCTATCTATTGATGAAAAAAAGAAATTTTCCTCGATCCTTGTTGTGCGAAATAAGGTATCTCCCTCACTACTTGTGGATTACCCTAAGTAGTTCTTCGTACGAGACTAAAACGAACTTCTGCAGCACCAACAGGTGATGTGATCCTCCTGGTTGAGATCTGCGTTTAAAAAGTAGTTCGCGTTTTTGCAATATGGACATACAGCATGCTGAAACCTCTCATGACATCCACAGCATACCACTCGAGAGCGTTCTTTATATTCACCGCGACTCCAAAAATTTGGCTCTTGGCAGTGCGGACAGTTGATATGTTGAAAAATTTCTTTACAATTATGACAAGTGACACGGTAGCCAGGAATTCGATTGGCGTCTTTCCACGCGCACGGTTCTGCGCATCTTGGGCAATTAATATGCTGATACTTGTGGTTACAACTGGTACATGTAATTGTTTCGCCGGATCTGTAATTTGCTTTCGACCATATATGCAGTTCGGAACAGCATGGGCAGTTGATGGCCTGGTAAAATTTCTCACACGAGTAGCATCGATAACGTAAGCCAGCTTTGTACTCGTTGTTTCTGAAGTATTGTGCTGCTTGACAATGAGGACAATTGAGCGCACGATAATCTTGCTGACACGAACGACAATGTGTTTTCAACCCTGGTGTGTGTTTGTTTGGCGCACGCCAGAATGTCTCGTGTCGACAATAGGGACAATTGAGATGCTGAAAGTAGCATCTGCAATATACACACCTAATGTTTTTCCCTGCATGATAGGTGTTGTTGTCCCAAAAGTTGAACTTCGAACAATGCGGACAGGGTACTTCATTAAACCAATGATTACAATTGAAGCAATGGATTACTCCACCGTATCTGTATGAACTAGACAATATGATCTTCGTCGAGCAGCGAGGACAGATAGCTCTTCGTCCCGCTTCACCTGAAATAGGTTATAACAGTTAAATGTGTATCGATATATTCATCCTTATTCAATATCCATTAGAAGTCCGTATCAACAAGAAGTATAAAAGTCCATGCGCGACTAACGAAGTAACCATTAGAGAGGTCAAAAAGCTTTATGACCTCTCTAGTGATTCCTTCGTAAGGAAGAATATACTTGACTGAGACAGGGCGCAAATAGAAGTAATTCGCACATTGAACTAGATGTCAGATGAAATGATTTTACTACAACTTAATCCTCCTGAAAAAGACACCTCACGTTTTATCCACACTCATCCTAACTTTTTAGCTCGAATTTTAGGAGAAGAACGAGTTTGATGTCTATTTCACTACAGAGACTTCTCGAATTCCCTATTAGCTGATCATATCGACTGCATATACTTAACAAGGTGTCATTTGTTGCGACTAAATACGCAGGTACTTGTATATATATGAATATACCATCACCTCGTCTCATCGAAGTATTACACAACAGCACGTTTCAGAACGTCACATGCAGAACTCAACCGCTGGAACTCGCTTTCAGTTTTAATTTATTTTACAACATGTAAATGGATGATAATCTGTATCGGCTAGTGTTTTTATCGGATGATTGTGCTTTAATTTAATTAGAAGTACCTTTCGGTGTCTTCGGTAAACCCCATTTTGATGACTGGTATAATGAGACCGCAGTCGTATTTTTATCAACGACTTGATTTGAGTTTGGAGTCGACGATAAGTTACCTGCAGAAACTTCCTTTAAATGCACCATTCGCACTTCAGCCATCATAAGTGATTCATCTGCAGCAATGAGTGTTGTCCCAGATACTAAAAGAATCTCATCTTCTTTTCCATAAGCTGAATATGGAGCAATATTCCTGCCACGAATGCATTCAATCATGAAGATCGTTCTGTCGTTAGCACTTTGTGGGATGAACTGGTCCAAAATACTGATTGACTTTGTGCATGATGTATAAGCCCACCAACGAATTCTGCCATATTTTTTATAATGCTTCGCAACGTCACCCGGGACTGCTCTCCAGACGTTACCCGAGTACAAAGGTAACTTTCTCACTCCTGTCGCGAAGAGCTTTAAATACAAAAGCCACGGACGTGCCATGAAATGGTCCTTTTTTCGGAGAGTCCAATTAACCATTCGATATATACTTGTTTTACCCACTTCCATCGTATATAAATATATGGCTGCTGTTTCATCATGCGTCAATCCATCGGGGGATATGAAGCACTTTGCTTTCGCTTTGGCAACTAGCTCATTTATTCGTGGAATGATGGCATATAAAGAACGAATTGCAACCTCTAGTGGAACAAGTGGCGAATTCCAGTACTCTTTGATACCAACACTGTCATCGGCGAACTCCTCTTCAACGAAAAACCGAGATGCCATTTTGATTTTCGTGTGTCCGAGCGAATATGCTGTCTTATATAGAAAGATAATAAAGAGATAACAGACGAGTAACGCTCTCACTGTTTCTTCGCAATGCAACAATTGTAATCAAGTATTTTTATGATTCATACCGTCAAAGGTATTTGCCTACGCTGATAAAAATTTTCGTAGAATGATAAATCCTCAAAAAAGGGTTTATAACTGAAAAATTCGTTTATCAACGTGATCTACCCCTTTGATCAACCCTTTTTTCTTGAAAAACCCCAAAAAGGTATATTATCCGTTGCAAACTGATAAACCCAACAGTTTATTGTCTCTTGATAAACCCTTTTCCCGTTGATCAATTGAATCAACCCTCAAACTCAGAGTTTATCATCATTTCCAAGAAACCTTTCGATTACAATTGATCCAGTTGATCAACGGGAAAAGGGTTTATCAAGAAAAAAGGGTTGATCAAGGGATAGATCACGTTGATAAACGAACTTTTCAGTTATAAACCCTTTTTTGATGGTTTATCATTCTACGAAAATTTTTATCAGTGTAGAAGAAATATTGATCAAACAAATATCTCATTCCCCTCTCTGACGAGCTAGCAATCAGTCACATTCTCTTTCGTCTATACGCGTAAACTTTGANCCCAAATGTACATCGATTTGTCGTGTGTGAAGATTGCTTTGAAGAATTCGGCGATCAGTGTGAACCTTTCCGATTGTCGAGGGGGTAAGTGCATCATTTCACAAATAACCACGAGCGATAACTTGTACGGTAAGAGTATTTGTACTTGTATAAGTGCTGGACGATTCGGTGCTTTGTAAACTTTCATCGATTCCGTATCCAGTGTAAATTCGGTAGACGATGTCGCGGCTTGGATGAGTTGTTGTAGGATTGGTATGGGTGTTTTTCGGTTCACGTGATATGGTATGTATGGTAATGGCGTGAATTGCGTGTACTTGATGTTGTATTCATATTCTTTGATTTGCTTTTTCAGTCGTCGTCGATAATTCTGTCGTTGTGTTCCTCGATATTTTGATGGAACATTGTGTAGTTGGTGTAATGCCGTGTAATATTCATCTTCCGAGAGCATTTTGCTTGACGATGAGAGAAAACTTCTTTTTTCTTGGTGGGATGGTTCTAAATATTCGAATATTAGAAATAAATTGAAAAAAAATTTACCTATGATAGGTCGATTCTCTTTTCAGAGAATCCGAAGCGTTCCGATTTCTTAATAATTAATGATACGTGAGTATGCTGATTCAAATGTTTCTAATCCCTGTGTGGATAATGCTAATGAAAATAAATCAATGAGAGTAAATGTTGTGTAATTTGAGATAATAATGATAATGATAATGATAATGATGGTGGTGAGAGCTCAGGTGTTCTCGTGTTCGTTGTCCAAATCGAGATGATAATAAATGAGTTCGATCGCTGTCGATGCGAGAGATGTTTTGTTTGTTTTGTTTGAGTTCCACCCTGTTCTAAGGTAGAGCATGGATTATCGAATTTTCCATTTTATTTTCTATAAAATGTGGATTGTCCAGTTTCGTTTGATTTCTTTCGAAAATATGGACGTAGAAATTCTTCATGTGTGTAAAGTATGGATTTGTGTTGTGATTCATTTTCATATCGTTGTTTTTATTCTTGTATGTCAACATTTCATATATACCGTTCACAATGTCAATGCTGATGATTACGAAATTGAGGTTCCATTCGATTCCCTGTGATCAAGAGGGGATCTAATGAAGAAGTACACGTTAATTGTATAACAGATGGCATTCCGTAAGATGAATTAATAATTGAAAATCAAGATCTGTATAATCAATGTGACAGCCCTTCACGACCAGTGAGTGGGGGAGAGACACACTCGCCGATCCTGCTATGCTGGATTACATCCGGTTGCACCATCTCGATAATAATTAATTAATTCATGTGTTTCGACATGTGTGGAACGATTCAATCTCTCGATAGAGAGACTTTTTTGCTAATGAATACGTTGAAATATTGGTAGTAACACATCGGTGGTAACTTGGCGTTGTAATGTTGGTTTCTTGATGTGTTGTACTATAAACGTTTTCGGC